CTGGTAACTGGTGTGAATATTTGTACGCTTGGGGTGACATTGGGGGACAGTCACACATGGTATGCATGATATTTAGGATACCGAGGTATATTTTAGTCCTACGTAGTCCCATATTGATAACAAGGTAGGTTTAGGTTGGGTGATGGGGTACATGTAGAAATACTGGGTTTCGTATTTGTATATATCATATTTGTAAATTAATTTTTACTATACTGAGTTATATGAACTCACCCTCTATTATTTACAGATGATGTAGGAATGTAGTCAGGATTGGAGTTGCTGGTTTCTGAGCCTAGCATATAGAGCAACAGAATAAGGATCTTTATTAACAGAATTGAATGTGTAAAAGTTGGTAGTAGAGTTGATAGTATGTCTGTTGATAGTGTATACGGTTGTATTTCACGTGATGTTACATGTATCATTGCCGGTCTATCTTAACTCTGAACAATAGATTGTGATAGTGTTTCTATGTGCATGATTGACTTGAAACGAAATTTTCGTATTTGATCATGGATTTGTTGTGAACTACGCCATTAGAAAAAAGAAATGGAGCGTTACAATAGTACATTAACAATATTTATATTTTAGCATATACAACAAGTGAAATTAATAATTTTTTTGTTATCATCTTGACACAATTAACAATTTGTAAGTTATATATTTTCCACGCATGTAAATAGATGAATACTAATTTATAAATTAATGTTAGTCAAATACTTTAACAACTTATGTCTAAAAAAACTACATCAACTTTGACGAACTTTTGAGTTATATAGACCAAGTGGAGTGATGGGACAAATGATGCACTTGTACTCTATTTGAATGATTTTTGTGATAGTTAATTAATGTAAAGTAATGTATGGTAAATGTGTAGAATAGTAATTGATATGTTATGACATATTTGGAAAGATTATATATTAATATATGGTAATGTCAGTTATTTTGTTTGAATTAAGAGATTGATATTGTTGTATATTAAGTTAAATTATCTAATTGTTTATGTCTTAATGAATGTAATATTGAAGAAAAAAAGCTCTAAAATAACCATACCATCGGTAAACAAATATGATTTTGTTAGTCTACTACTATATCATACATTAATAAATCATATTTTATCATAATCCAAACAGAGGGTTGAAGTTTTAACCATGAAATAAAGTTGAGTGAAGATTGTCCTATTACTTGAATATAGCGATTAAGGTTCTCTGCCTGCTACCATCCTTTAATACGGAGCAAATGAATGTAAATTCCTAAATTTATAAGTTATATTGAATAAAATTTGATGAATCAATTAAAAAAAATAAATTTAGTATTATAACTTTTTTTAAATAATATTTAATTATATAATATATATTTACATCATGCCTAATAAATAAATGTAACAAGGGGGTAGATAAGAAGTTTTTCTATTCACTTTTTTTTTTTGTTAGAAATTACATAAAATAAATAAAATTTCTTTTATGTACTACGTAATGTACTTAATCTTAATCATAAAAAGTAATTATTTTTTTTGTCATTTTCTTAAAATTTAAATTGTAAAACTATAATTTTATCAAATTCTTAATAACATATTAAAATACTAGCAATTAAAATAAAGATGACCAACAAAACAATTTTATCTATTAACATATCTATATTTATTTTTCAATTTACATGATGCTAAAAAAAATATATGAGAGAAAATATGGAAAATAAAATATATTTTTTTTGAAAAAATTCAAACGAAAGAGTTGCGAGTAACAAAAGCATTCTTCACGGGGCTCTTTTGGGCCGGGCTCTGAAAATCCGAAGTACGGCAAGTTGCTCATTCTCATTCCTCCAAAGAATTATTTTGCGCATAAAAAACATCGGAAGGCGGAACACAAAACTACAGGCCGAAGTAGACAGTTAAGCAGGGAGGAATTTGAATTATCGAAGCAAAAGCCATGGCGAAGGCACAAGCAGAGATTGCAGTAAGTTCCGTGGTCAATGATCTTCTCACCTTCCTGAACGCTTCTCCTACTGCTTTTCATGCCGTTGGTAACTTATCCTTTTCTTCTAATGGTCTCCATTTATTTTTGGTTCCTGAATGCATCTTTAAATTTTTTTCTCGATGCTTTTTTTTTCCTTTTCTCACCACATTAAAAAGAGAGATATGCGGAAATGATCTTGGAAGTGATGTCGAATTTTCTTTGATTGCAGACGAGGCGAAGAAACGTCTCCAAGACGCTGGGTATGAACAAGTTTCGGAAAGAGAAGACTGGAAGTTAGAAGTAGGGAATCGATATTTCTTTACCAGAAATCATTCCACAATCGTTGCCTTCGCAATTGGTAAAAAGTATGATCCTCCAATTCAATAGCAGTCTGATAATTTTACGTTTTTTTTTTTTTGTTTGTAAATCTTGTTTCCTTTGGTTCTTTTGGGATAAAATGGAGGAAAAAGAGGTCTATATTACTTGACTACTACTTGATTAATTTGGAAAGAAAAAGTAGCTTGAGATGGTACCCTTCTTTTTTTTTCTCCTTTGTGTACTTGTTTATTTCTTGCTTTGCTTTAACATCCACTTCTGTGCAAGGGATTGAAGAATCTATTAGAAGGCAATTTGTGAGGCAGTAGTTGCAGAGAGAACTTTGCCGTTTAATGTTGATTCGTGCTTGATCTTCTCATCTAGGGTTGTTTCTAATCATATTGAAATTTTTATTAGGTATGTTGCTGGAAACGGATTTCATATTATTGGTGCTCACACTGACAGTCCTTGCCTGAAATTAAAGCCTGTTTCAAAGGTATATGAGATGCGCTCATTTTTTTTTTTATTTGCAGTGTCAAACTATTGTTGTGTCTCCTATTGTCTACCTTGTTATTGAAATCATTGAGTTAATTGAAAATCTGGGTCAATTGACAAGGTAACAAAAGGTGGATACTTGGAAGTTGGTGTTCAGACATATGGAGGTGGGCTGTGGCATACATGGTTTGATCGTGACTTGACAGTTGCAGGGCGTGTAATAATAAGAGAAGAGAAGGATGGTTCTGTATCATACTCACATCGGCTAGTTAGGATTGAGGAACCCATAATGCGAATCCCTACCTTGGCAATTCACTTAGACAGGTTTCTTGCTAGATAAATTACTTCTTTGGTTGATTGTTCATGAAGTAGTTTTTAGCTGCTTAGCGGTTTTTCTAAATCTTATTATCATTACTATTTTGAGATACAAAGAAGAAATGCCATAAATATGCACCCTTTACAAGAACATGTTACAACAATCAGAAACCAATATAAGAATGAGGTTCCCCAAGTTCTTTCCATCAAGGATGGGCTGCCCTGTTAACAACATACTCAGGATTGGAATTAATTATCTCTGAGAAGAGCAAATACTACAGGAAAAAACAAAAGACGAGGGAAGGGATATTGGACATTTCTAAAAGAAACAATTATTTAGTTTTATTAAACTTAAGTAAATTAAAAAAAAAGCAGCTTTTTTTTTAATGAAGAAAACTTGGGTGATGTAGGATACACTTCCACAATTTTACCATCACTAGTAAATAAGGTATTGAACAACATTTTCTTACCAAAGAATAAGGTGGAAATAGAAGCGATTGAGAGAGGAAGAGAAAAGATAAAGATGAGAGGAAAAGGGGGAGGGGGAGGGGAAGAGGAAGAAAGGAAAAGAAGAGTTAGAGAAAGGGAGAGAAACCAGAACTTAGAGAATGCTTCAATTCTGTTTCAATAATAATGTCATCCTCATTACACTAGACTTACTTATATAAGTATATAAGCAAAAAAGAGGATAAAACAGGCAATAGTAATTTTGGTAGTTATATAAATTAGCCACTTGAAATTGCTATCATTATCTATCCAGTGAGAGGTGGGGCAAGTTGGTAACTTCACGCGTTAACAACTAGATGTCGTCAGTGCCTTTGATCTAGACCTATGAGACGGCACAAGTTGGTAACTTATGGTTATGACCTTTGGCTACCATCTTGGCTCATTAGAGGGCACAAATTGACAACTTGTGATTGCCACCTCATTTTCAGAACATAGAAGGGGCCCTAAGGGATATTATTGTCCTATGAAATTAGAGTAAGAGCGAGTAGATTGGTATAGGCGTTGCATTGAATGTCTTGTGCCTAAAATGTAGGGTGGTTTATTTTAGTTAAGTGTTTACTTGTATAGCAAAGGGGGAGGGTAGCAAAAGATGAATTGTATGGAATGATCTTGAGAAGACTCATGGTAGATGAGATTTTCCTTGGTTGGTTGCAAATGACTTTAACATGGTTCTTGTTGCCTAGAGATGGGCATTGGAGCAAGTAACTTGTTAAATTCGCTCCAACCTACATTGAATGTTTAGATAAAAATCCGTAATTAGCGGGGTGCATATGGCATCTCTATGGATAGAAAATTATAAACCCGAAACGAATAAGGGGCAAGTATGGATTTAATGATTTACTTGCTTTGCCCATTTTGATATATACTTATAATGTTAATTGATACTTGTTATGGATTACTATATTCAAATAGTATTTTAAATTATATCTTAATTTTATTAATACTTAATATTTTCTAATTAAAATTATTTAAATATTTTATAAGATTTTTTAAAATTAAAAGTTAGATAAATATGGCAGGTAACCGGTAGAAAGTTTTATCCATGGGACAGGTAGCAGGAAAAAAACCTTCTATTTGTTTAATATATGGTTGGGTATGTTTTATGTTTTTATTAGTGGAATGGTATGGAAATTGATGTACTCGGTCCATAACTGCTCTGTGCCCATCCCTATTGCTAGCCACAAGAGATGGAGGAAGTCTTTCTCTAGGGCGTGTATTGAGGGTTTAGGAGGATTTTGGACAATCTTAACCTTACTAAGCTTCCTCTAACAGGTGATAGATGGAATTGGTCAAATTAGAGGAGAAGGCCCAATTCTCTAGAATTGATAGATTTCTTTTTTTTCGTCTTTTTTATTCTTACTCGGGTTTGATCCATGTGTCTGGAAAGTGGAGGTGTTAGATGGGGGCCCTATTTGCTCCGACTTGAATAAATGGCTTTGGGCTCCATGTTTCTCGAATTCGGTCAAGAATGATAGGAGGAGCCTCAGCGGGGCAAGCTTGTTTTAAGATTGTGAAGAAGCTTTCATATGTGATCTTCAAAATTAAATAATGGTGCAAGGTTGAGCTTGGAGATTCTGAAGCTAGAAAAGAACCATTTAATGCAAGTATTGGTACGCTTTGACAAATCGAAAGGGGAGAGAGTATGGTCTTATGAGGAGCAAGAGTTAAGACAAGGTCATGGTAGATCTAGTAATCAATTGTTTATGGAAAGCTTGGAGATTCTGAGGCTAAAAAGAACTACTTAATGCAAGTTGTGGTGCACCTTGACAACTCAGAGGAGGAGAGGATCTTGTCTCTTCAGGAGCGAGATAGTGGGGACCAGGTCATACTTCTTTTTTGAGAAGAAAAAAGGTGTAATATATTTAACAGCACTAAGGACGTGCAAACTCGTATATAAAGCATTTACATATCTAATAAAATATCTATAAGGTATCTTAAATCTCACAAGAATAAAGATGATGATTCTTATTTAAAAAGTTTAGGATTTGGAACCACGAGTCTTAATCAAAATTACCCCTTGTACCTTCAAAAACTCTCATGCTTCTTTCTTTCCAGATTACCCAAAAGGTAGCCAGCAGAATAAGTCTTGAAGATTGTTTATCCTTGTGTCTAAGCTCAAATCTCCTCCCTCTCTAAGCCCACCACCACCTAACTTATCCCCAGAAGACTGTACCTTAAGGTCCACAGATGATATGCAAATGGGCACTGCAGGAGAATATAATTACAGGATTCTGCCTCCTTTTTTACACAAGAAAGATCCATTAATCAAGATTCTTCCCTTTCTTTTCAATTTTGTCCGGAGTTAAGATACATTCCCTCGCTGCTTCCCAAGCAAAGAATGATCCTAGGTGATGCATTAACTTTCCAAATTGGTAATCTACTGATGGTGGAGAGTATCTCTCAGAGACAAAGATCAAAGGGCACATGGTTAAAGGATGGTGTTAGAAATACCAAGTTTTTCCATAACTTTGCTAACATTGTAACTATATCGAGAAAATGGAAGTCGACAGCCATGTTGAGAAATTTTATGAGTAGCTTTCTGCATGGCAGTGGAATCTTAATGGCCTGAACTTTTACTCTCTCGGTGAGTAGGGAAAGGATTGCCTTGAGAGATCTTTTTGTGAAGAGTAAATTTTTGAAGTTCTCATGAGATGTAGAATGTTGCTCTACTGCTTTTCTTGCAGAACAATTGGGGGGGACATTGGAAAAGATTTTGAAGCATTTGTTCTTTTTTTTTTTTGTGAAGGGACATTTTGTCTTGAACCTCAATTATGCATTTTTGGTCCTTATCCTTGAAGTTGAAAGTGCTTCAAGTATTAAAAAAACTCAAGACCTATTAGCTTGGTGAGCTATGTCTATAAACTGATTGTAAAATTCTTAACTAAAAGATTGGTTTCTGGTGAGTAAAGAGGGGGCTGAGTTTTAGCATGCTTTTGCAGAGGATAGAGAAATCATGGATGCAACACTGATTGATTGTCACCGCCAAAAATTAGTGGTTGTTGGAGGAGTTGGTGGTGGTGGTGGTGGTCAGGGGGTGGTGGTCCGAGGAGGGGGAGCAGGCAGTAGAGGTAATCCACCTTTTTCTGATTAAACTTTGTTATGTTACAGGAGTGATTGGGATGCCCTACTTATTGTTAGGTGTATTTTCCATTGCTTTCAAGCTATTTCAGTTTTAGGCCTGAAGATCTGCTTGTCTAAAGCAAAGTTGGCCTGGATAGGGGATTGGTTTATTCTGGTTCCCTTGCTGCCATTTTGTGGAGAAAGCTGCTAGTTGGAGTCCTAAAAACTTGGGGCTTCTGCTTGGGATCAAATTTAAACACATTGCAGCTTTGGATCTTATTGTATCTGGATTCGAGAAAATGTTTGTTGGTTAGAAGCCTGGCTGTCAATCTAAAGTGAGACAACTCACTCTCATAGAATGCAATTTGTCCAATTTGCCCATGTACTATATTGCTAATTCCCGATTCTGGCTAATGGGATGAAAAGGTTGGAGTCAATAACAATGTCTCTTTCATTGGGCTGGTAGCTTGATATTGAGACTCGAGATGATTCCATTTGATGGCTTGGGATATGGGGAAACTCTTTCTGCACTAATTGGAGGTCTTAGGATTAGATCTCTTTTTCTAAATAAAGCTTTCTTGGGGAATGGCTTCGGGTATTTGTGAATGTTAGGAGTAATATATGGTAGAAGGTTTAGAGCTTAGTTTGGGGTGATTGGAATGGGGAACCGGATATTCTAGAGCACCGCATGGTTTTAGCTGGAATAATATTAATTCTTGATGGAGATAAGTTCTGCAATTGCATTAGGAGGAGAATTAGCTATGGACACAGAGTGATATCTGGCATGAAGCTTGGAATGATTAGGAGGCGCTTTCTCATTGTTTCCTCAATGTTTTCTCTCTTGCTAGAAGAAAAGAACTAAGAAATAAGATGTTCCCCTTTTCTTCTAGCCAATGGGCTTGGGCCATCGGTTTCCTAAGAAATTTGAATAATTGTGAGGTCAATGAATGTATCATACTCATGCAACACCTTTCCCACTTTAATGATCAGCCTAATTGAACCAATGAACTTGTTTGGAACTTGGATGCTTTCGTCTTTTCGCCAGTGAAAACTTTTTAAATGCATTTTGTTTATTTTGGCTTGCCTTGCAATGAGGTCCCTAGAAGTCTATTTGGAAGCTTAATGTGACCTTAGGATTGTGCTTTTTTCTTGGGAGACAGTCAAAGGGACAATTATCACCTCAACAATCTTAAAAAGAGGGGAAAGATTCTAGGTAATTGTTGGTACTTGTGCAAGAGGGGTTGAGACACCACAACATCTTTGGTGTTGCTCTCTCCCTTCACCTTCTGTGTGTTGCCATGGTTTTTCTTGGCTTGAGATGGGTGATAGTATGCTTTATAGCTAAAGAGACTTACCTATGACAGTGAATCAGTCATCGAGCACAGGGGAAAAAACATGTATCTTTTGTCCCTTTGGCTACTACCTCGGCCATTTTGAAAGAAAAAAACAGTAGAGCTTTTGAGAACTTAAATTTTCTTTTTATTTTTATTTTTTGAAATATTTAAATTATCCTTTTGCTAGAGTTAGAGATTCATGGTTCCGTACCTTGGATTATTAAGGGTCATTCTTTCTTCACTGATGAGGAATTTGGAGGACCTGTTTGATATTTTAACTTACTTCAAAATTTTTGTATCTCGATTGGGCACTTGCCTCCTTCCTTGTTTATGTATATTATACCTTTTTCTTTTAGAAAACTGCCTTGATATCACTCGATGTAGGATGCACTTTCACAATCCACTTTCACAATCACTAGTAAATAAGATAATAGAAGATACTATTTTATCAAGGTTTAAGGCAGAAAGAAAAGCCATAGCTTATGGGTTAATGGAGATCAGTTGGGTGATGACTGGTTCAAGAAGGGAAGAGATTTGGGGCTCGAGGGGTATTAATAGAGAGAAGAAACTTGTGAGTTTCATTCCCCTTACTATCTTTCGGATAGTGTGGATAGAGAAGAACATGAGAGCTTTTAAGATGGTGAAAGATGAATTTGACAGGGTCAGAGGTAGATGGTTTCAGACCCTAGATTTTTTAGTTATGGATCATCCTCTTTCTGAAATGGTGGATTTTTGGGATATCATTGATATTCTTATTAACATATAAATGCTTTTTTGTACATGGATTGACACCACCTTGGTGCTTGTGAATTAATAAATTATACCATATTTTTTATTTCAAAAAAAGAAAAAAGAGTGGTGGTCAAAACTAGAGAAGTTTCTAAACTCTGGAAACTGAAGCTACTACACGATACTAAAAGAAAAAAAAATAGATATTGGTCAAGAACAAATACTACAGAACATTTATAGCGGGGTTCCTTGATTTTTTTCGAAGCGGAAAGAAAACTCAAAATACAACCTAATTATACAGGACATTTTCTATTAAATGGAAAGACTATGAACTCAAAATTGAACCTAATCATATAGAATATTTTCTATTAAATGGAAAGACTACGTAGGAATATCGTATTATTGTGCAATGTAATATATCGAGAATATTCCTATTCTCTAATGGCTCCCAAACAGCCTCTTGTTTCTTTCCATCCAAGTAACCTCAAAGGTGAAAATAGGAATTAGATAAAAGATTCTTTTCTTTACCAGCTCCAAAGCCCAACCAAGCCCAAACTTCCTCTGCTACTAAGCCAGAAATAAGCGAAGATAAATTTAGGAGTCCTAATGCAGAATCCTAAAATCTCATGATAGGAGATAACATCACAAAAATCCTCCTATTATTTGTACTGTTGTATGAAATCCTCTTCGTGCTTTCAATCACTTAGATAGCCTCATGGATTTACGAGATATGTCAAATAATAACATGAGATGACAAAATTAACCCCTATAAAGAATACTGGTTTTGTTCAAGAGCATATTAGTAATTTCAAAACCACATTTTTGTTTTGAGTGCACAAGAGTCATAAATTCTTCTCCTTTTGGTTCGTTCCATGGTGCTGTTTGGTACATGTTGTAGATTGGCTAACTTAATTTAATTAAAGCACAAAGACGCTCTGATAAAAAAAATTAGGATTATAAGGAGGGAATATGATATTCAACCTATTATTGTTCTTAATATGATCACAATTTGGGGTTGATCTGTAATTTTCTGCTGGATTTGGCACTATTAGGAAATTTACATGCCATTGTGTCATGTGAATAGGGGTGTTAATGATGGCTTTAAGGTGAACACACAGAATCATCTTCTTCCTGTATTGGCAACATCAATCAAGGTAATCTTGGAGTTCCAAGCACTTTTTATGCTATTGAAGAGATGACAGAAAACTTAAATATTCTTCCTTTGAACTATATCAATGCTTTACTTCGACTACAACTGAAGATTAAAATTTAGTACGTCACTGGCTGATATGAATTATTGCTGTGTTAATCATTGAACCTTTTTTGGTTCATCAAGGTTTCTTCTTTTCTATTTGCTACAGGCAGAGCTTAATAAAGTAGTTGTGGTAAATGGTCCAGTTGAAAATGAAGTCAAGACCGAAAGGAAAGAAATCTGTTGAAAA